TACATCTATCCAGCCCATCTGGTACCAACAACTATGCCACGGTTAACGTTAATTGAAGCTCTTGATGTGTATCTGCATGATTTTATGCATTATGCTGCTGCCATATGATTGGCTGATTGGATAACTGCATAAATGAACAGGTGTACAGGTCTTCCTGTTAAAATGAATGGTGAGTGTAGCTTGTACAGATTGTACAGATAGTTAGATTGTAACTATACTTCCTCTAACAATCTATGATTGCATGAGCTGCGTTCTCTGATTCGGTGTTCTCAGGTGAAATACACATAGGGGGACAGGAACATTTTTACTTGGAGACAAACTGCACACTGGCTGTCCCTCGAGGAGAGGATGGTGAAATGGAGCTGTTTGTGTCCACGCAGGCGGCCACCAAAACACAAGTAATCAAAAACTGTAGTTCATATATTTCATTGTTCACTCTAGGATATATAACATGTACAGTTCATTCACTGGATATACATAACATGTTTTGAATGTTTGGGATGTATTCAGTTTGTTTGTTTTATTTTACATGTTTTCTCATGTCACTGAGAGTTAGCTAAAATAAGTGTGAACAAATTAAGAAACAAATTAACTAGCTTGCTCACTGTTCCTCTATCAAAATGCTATAGTTTTGGTTACTGTGTCTTTTCTAGAGTAGCTATTTATCTCTCTTCCTCAGTAACTGCTTTATCCTGGTAAGGGTCACGGTGGCCTATGTTGGGACGTGAGGCGGGAATACACCCAGGATAGGGCACCAGTGTATCACACAGCACCGTCCACACACACATTCCCACCTAGGGGCAGTTTAGCATAGCAAATCCGCCTACCTGCATGTTTCTGGGAAGTGGGAGGAAGCCAGAGAACCTGGAGGCAACCCATGCAATCGTGGGGCAAACATTCAAAACTCCACACAGACAGAAACCTGAGCTCAGGATTGAACTGTGGATCCTGAAGCTGTGAGATAAGATAAGATAAGATAAGATAAGATAAGATGTATATTTATTGATCCCCCATAGGGGAAATTCAGTAGTTGTGCAACTGTACAAACTATTATTATTATTATTAGACTACAAATAATAATAATAATAATAATAATAATAATAATAATAATAATAATAATCCTCAATACCACCAAACTGAAGAATTAAAAAAAAGCTTCATTATAGGTACATCATGTTAAAAAAAAATGTGGTAGACAGAGGCAGATGCTTTGTGTGGAGGAGGTAGAAGTGTTCTGACATTTTTCAGAATGGCAATTTGTACTATCTGGTTTTAGACACTTGTGGCCAAAGCATTAGGAGTACCAGCCAGTCATATCGTGTGTCGAGTTAAGAGAATGGGAGGAGGATTTGGAGGAAAAGAGAGCCGCAGCACCATGCTCTCAACAGCTGTGGCCGTTGCTGCTCATAAGTAAGAAAAAAATTGGGTTTGGAAATATTTTTGTTTTGTTTTTTTTTCTCATTAGTACTCAGAAATACCTACCTGAGCAATTACAATGTACCTTCTGTAGAGTCAAGAGACCAGTCCGTTGCATGTTGGACCGCGATGAGGACATGCTGGTTACTGGAGGTCGGCACCCATTCTTTGGACATTACAAGGTAAGAATTTACATGAATATAATTTACTCAGGACTATCTTCCCAGAAAATGTTGATCATCATTGATGAGAAAGTGTCAAAATATACAGTATATCCTACTTGATTTCATGACTATTGTGTTACAGTGTATTTGATAAATAATTTTAAAAACTACTCAGCTATCCTATCATATTTTCTTCTCTTATGATTTGTGAAGGTTGGATTCAAGAAGAATGGAAAAGTGATGGCTCTTGATGTGACCTACTACAGCAACGCAGGAAATTCCATGGATCTTTCCTTGTCTGTGAGTATCAGAAGCATGACATTTATGATCAGGAATATATCCACATATTTCATTAATCAATCCAGATTTTGCAGTTGTAATTACCTTTATGTAATTTATCTTATTTAGATTCTAGCACAACAGCACGTTTTTTTGCTTTCCTTTAGATTATGGAACGAGCACTCTTCCATATGGACAACTGCTATAACATCCCTCACATTCGTGGGACTGGCTACATATGTAAAACCAATCTGCCTTCCAATACTGCATTTCGAGGCTTTGGTGGGCCTCAGGGAATGATGGTAGCAGAGAGTTGGATAAGTGATGTGGCTCTGTGTTGCGGCCTCCCTGCTGAACAGGTTTAATTTGGGCTATCACACTTTTAAAGAAATCAGTTAATGTGTTCTTAAAGCCTTGATATTGTACTGCTTTGCAAAGCATGTGATTGCAAGGTAGCTTTGGCACTGTAGTATAACACCCACCTACAAAACGCAAATTACCTTTAAATTGAAAACATTTACCCATGTGAATTATTATGAATTATATCAATTACTTTGTCTCCTATTTGCAGTTACACCATTATAATTCTGCAGTGACAGTTTTGTAGATTTCAGTAATAGATATTGCTATATGCTGTCATCTGCACCATTAAAATCCTGCAACTCATTTTTGTTTACCTCTGCCAAAGTTGTTATTGCATCTCTTTGAACAGGTGAGGAAGATGAATCTGTATAAGCAGGGAGACTACACCCCCTTTAACCAGTGTCTGGACCAGTTTACCATACATCACTGCTGGGAGGAGTGCATATCCATCTCAAACTTCCACCAATGGAAAGCCAAGGTGGAGCAGTATAACAAGTGAGTGGCTACAAGATATTTATAACATGAGAGACAAAAGTGTTTCATCTGGTAGTCTCAAGCTTTACTTGATTAAATAAGTTAGAAAAGGGAAGGAATTGAAGGGTGTAAGTGGTGTTACTATTGTTGTGATGCAGACAGAATCGCTGGACCAAAAGAGGGTTGTGCATCATTCCCACAAAGTTTGGCATCAGCTTCACTGCAGTCTTCCTCAACCAGGTTGTCTTTTTTCACTTTGTACAATGCTTTGCATTTTGTAGTGTTACAACCTGCATTTGTCTCTCGCTTGCTTCTTTGACTAATGCCTTCGTGACATTTGGAAGAGAAACTCCTCTGGGCAGAATCATAGTTGTCCTATATTCTTTCCATGTTTTGAATAATAGATTTATTAGGACAGGATTTTTTAGAACCAAACCCTAATTGATCATTTCTAGAAATGTTTCATCCTTGTTTGACATCTCCTTGGTCTTCATGATGGGTTTCCTGAAACAGGTGTAATTAAGGCAATTTCAGTTCCAGGGGATGATTACTTATGCAAGGCACTGTATATATCTGTGTGTATTGACTGTATTGCTAATTAATTTTTTCCAGGCAGGAGCGCTGGTTCATATCTATACAGATGGCTCAGTCCTTCTCACCCATGGTGGAACAGAAATGGGACAAGGCCTGCACACTAAAATGGTCCAGGTAAAAGGAGTCAATGGTATCATATGAGATATACACAACCAGGGCTTGTACATGCACTTCTGCTGCAATAGGCAAAACACAATTGTGCCACCCCCTCTAAATGCGCTCTCACATCTCAGATCTCACATTGCTGTTGTCAATTAGGAGATTGTTCTTCTGGGATAAGATTTCCAGACATACAGTGGGGTCCAAAAGTCTGAGACCACATTCAGAATCTGATTTATTTTTTTTAGACACTATATGTCTCTATAGATCTATATTTGGTTTACATGGTATAAATGATCTCTGTATAAATCAAAGAGATGCGAGTGTCTTCATGATGTACATGTGCTTGTCACACAAAAAATTCCATGCTTACTATGTACATCTCATTTTAATAGAATATATTACCTTTATTTTAAGAGATTGCTGTGGGGAGCATAGCCATGCAGGTTGTGCTTGATCATTAGTAGGTTGCATAACCATAACATGCATGTTGTCTTAACATGCCAATAACATATTTGTCCTCAGTGTCCTGTGCTAGGAACGCAATAACTTACCTAAACCCTTGGAAGCATTGCTTCTCTGACAAGTGCTTTTTAACATTGTCTATATTATATTGTTCTGCATTTTAAACTCTACCAGTACTTGGTTATGTTTTGGTTTCGGCAGGTGATGATAGAAAGGAGCACTTCCTGGAGTATCTTTTAATTGAAGCACAAAAGCTCTTTTCCATATAATACTATGGAATTTATCACTTTAAAAGATGAAATAGAGGCCTATTGTGAGTAACAGTAACTCTCTCTCAAAAGGTTGTGGACACCTGACCATCATACACATGTGCGTTTTGAACGTCCCATTCCAGATTTAGTCGCTGTTATAATAACCTCTACTATTCTGTGAAGGCATTCCACTAGATTTTGGAGGGCTGCTGTTGGGAATTTGCTCATTCACAAGAGCATTAGTGAGGTCAGGCACTGGTGTTGGGCGTGAAGACCTGGGGCACAGTCGGTGTTACAGTTCATCCCAGAGGTGGTCAATGGGGTTGAGGTCAGGTCTCTATGCAGGCCATTTGAGTTCTACTATGCCAACCTTGGCAAACCATGTCTTCATGGACCTCGGGGCATTATCATGCTGGAACAGGTTTGGGCCACTTCCAGTGAAGGGAAATTATAATGCTACAGCATACAAAGACATCCTATATAGTAAATGTGTTCTTTGAAGTTTGTCAACAGATTGAGGAAGGTCCACATACGAAGATGATGGTCAGGTGTCCACAACTTTTGGCTGTATAATGTAAATACACTGAAAAAACTACCAGCATGGTTTCTCTATAGGAGAGCACATTGAATTAACAAAAATATTGGCATCATTTTTATTCATTTGACAAATGAAGTGAAGTGTGGCCAAGTATGGTGACCTATACTCGGAATTTGTGCTCTGCATTTAACCCATCCAAGTGCACGCACACACAGCAGCAGGCAGCCTTTTTTGTTTGCTGCGGCACCCAGGGAGCAGTTGGGGGTTCGGTGCCTTGCTCAAGGGTCTCACCTCAGTCATAGTATTGAGGGTGGAAGAGAGCGCACTGGTCATTCACTCCCCCCCACCTACAATCCCTGCCGGCCCTGAGACTCGAACCCACAACCTTCAACCTTGCAAGTCTGACTCTCTAACCATTAGGCCACAACTGCCCCTGAAATGAAAATAGCAAATTAAAAGTGCCATAGATTACATCCCATGCACACACTTTACAATTTAAGTATCTTTTGGCTTCATAAAGTAGTGTGCACAGTTATCTGTTGGAGCACAATATAAAAAAAATGCAAAATATTAGGCCCTGCTGACACCTGGTATTAACATCTGTCTCAAGTGATCAGCGAAGCGCATAGCTGTTTACACCTGGCATTTTGACCACTTGTGATCAGACTATGAAGACTGTCCTGTGTGTTTGCTGTATCTATATTTATATTTATCAGTGCTATTAAAGTACATGTGGTTGTGTTTCGTAGGTTGCCAGCCGAACTCTGGGAATCCCCAGCACAAAGATTCACATCAGTGAGACCAGCACTAACACAGTCCCAAACACAAGCCCTACTGCTGCATCTGCCTCCTCAGACCTCAATGGCATGGCAGTCTATGTAAGTGCCACTCTACAATATTTAAATGTCTGATACACAGCCAATAGTCTTCAGGATAGACTTTAATGCCAGAAGAGAAAAAAAACTACAAGGGGAATTGGTTATGATACTGATAAATTAGAAAAAGCTGGATAGAATGTATTGTTATATTCAGGCAGGTTGAAGTTTATGCAAATTGAATGCATAAAATAATGCTTAATCCTACAATGTCACACAGAATGCATGCCAGAAGCTACTGCAGAGACTGGAGCCATACAAAGCCAAAAACCCAAAGGGCAGCTGGGAGGACTGGGTCTGTAGAATTCTATATACCTCTATATATTGGTAGTATTGGCAAATTCCTTCCCTAAAGAAAATCATTCATTGAAAATCAAGCCAGATTTTTGTTGTAAAATGATATCAATGTGGTTGAATTCAAGTCAGAAATACCATAATGTGAACAACTTAATGGTACTATTATTACATCTATACAGCTTTATAGGATTCCGTCTATTTTTTCTGAGGCAAAACATTTTAATACCTCATAGTAACCTCATTTCTTTTTTTGTAGGTGAAAGCAGCTTACTTTGACCGGGTGAACTTATCAGCCAATGGGTTTTATAAGTATGTTAAAACTTTTTACAATTTCTGACCTTTTCTTGTTTAAAATTTGCCTGAATCAGCAGCATTTTTACACTATTGACTACAGGATATTTTGTGTACCTCCTTATTCTGCAGGACTCCAGATATTGGCTATGAGTTTGGAACAAATTCTGGCCGACCATTTAACTACTTCACTTATGGTGTAGCAGTCTCAGTAGTGGAGGTAGACTGTCTGACTGGCAATCACAAGGTAAAAACGACCTTCTCATCTGTGAATTAATTACTATTAAATTCCTTAGTAAATGCAACATAGATAATTTACACGGTACTTAACTTCTGCTAGCACTGATGTCATTTGGATAAAGATGACTAGATCCTGCTAATATATGTGGTCATGGTTTCATCCTTCACTGCTGGCCATCTCTGATATCTACTGGTGGTCTTATGTGTTATGTGTTCACGTGTGGTGACAAAATGATCCAGAACATCTTCACTCCTTTAGAACCTGCATACTTCAATTGTTATGGATGTGGGCAAAAGTCTGAACCCAGCACTGGACATCGGTCAGGTATACTGGCTATCACTCACAGTGACCTACTGGTTTGACAACACTCTTTGTATAGAGTAGGAGCTCACTTGTCATTTTATGTGCAGGTGGAGGGTGCATTCATGCAGGGCGTGGGTCTTTTCACACTTGAGGAGTTGCGCTACTCTCCCCAAGGTTACCTGTATACTCGTGGACCTGGGATGTATAAGATTCCTGCTTTTGGAGACATTCCAACTGAATTTAAGGTCTCACTACTTAGAGATGCCCCCAACGAGAAGGCCATCTTCTCCTCCAAGGTAATACTGACCCTCATGGTTTAATGCTGTGGTTCTCAAAATAGAGTTTTGGTCATCCCTAGAAGTCCTTGAAGCATAGCCATGGGGTCCATGATTGTTTTTTTGTTGTTAGAGTAGCGTAAATCAGGGTCCCTGGAGGACTAGTGGTTAGGCCACTGCACTCTCACTGCTGCTGCCTGGGTTCAATTCCTGGCCAGGGAACTGACCCCAGCCACTGGGGTTGCACAAGATAGTGCAGTCCCAAGCCCGGATGAAACTAGGGAGGGTTGCGTCAGGAAGGGTATCCGGTGTAAATACTGTGCCAAATCAAATATACATGGACCAATGATCTGCTGTGGCGACCCCTAACAGGGGCAGCCAAAAGAGGAACGCACTGTATTAGTTATTGTGGTTTTAAATACCAATACCTTCAATTGAAAGGGTTTCTTCTTAAACTCAATAAGACACAAACAAGTGGGCCTATAAATAAAGTCCAGCGACAATTAAAAAGCTTTAATAGCTCTAAGAAATAGGCAAAATATTATTGTACAGATTTAAATAATGTGCCTAATATTTCAATAATTGGATTGTCTGTATAAAATATATACTGGATGAAATGAGAAGGTACTTGAAATGTGTAGGGAACTGAGAGAGTTTACTGTATATATCTGTAAGTCATTATGTATTACTCATTTAACATGTTCACAGTATGAAGGAAATAAGCCCTTGTTAATTCTTTTGGCATTGTGGAAATATCTGTGCAATACAGTCCTTTTTTTATTTTTACTTTATTTAGGCGGTTGGAGAGCCTCCCCTCTTCCTGGCAGCTTCAGTCTTCTATGCTATCAAAGATGCTATCACAGCTGCCAGGGCTGAGTCTGGTCTTACAGGACCATTTAGACTGGACAGCCCTGCTACACCTGAGAGAATACGCAACGCTTGTGAGGACAGATTCACCAAACTAGTATGTTGCCAAAGTTTCTTTTTGAATAGACATGTTTAGTTTATAACCCTATGTATAAGTCATAGGTCATAGTTCTTGCTAAATCTGCAAAGCAATACAGTAGTTATACATTCAGAGTTTCATTTTGTCTTCAGGAACATTTTGCGTGGTTTTGTTCCATGTTGACTAACTTATGACTTGACCAGGACTTGCACTTGACTTGTCAAGTGCTTTATTCCACTTGAACCTCGAGACTGAATACTGAAAAAATGAAATCTGGATAAAAATGTGAACAGAAAATTAAGACGTTAATGAAGTAAATGAATAAAACTGGCCTTTTGTGTGCGGCTTTACCTGTTAATTTTGCGACTGTTATGCGCAGTAATTTATTTAAATGATAATCTAGTGCTTTAAATGATGTTTGGTTCAGTATGACTTCAGATAATGAGTCTTTTATAATAACCTTTGGTTACAGAAACTGTTAGTATGATAGATATTACCATAATGCTACTTTAAATAAATACAGTGACAAATAAAGAACGTAGGTGTGCAATCTAGATATCCTGATATCTAGCCAATGATGTAGTGGTACATTTATATTTAAGTTTTCGATACATGTGAGTAAGTAAGTAAGCGTGTAGGCAGAGAGGGTGGACTATTTTTTTGTTTGTTTGTTGCATATAATGTATATAGTTTCTGACATCAGTAGTACAGCTGTGGTATGGTGTTGTGTGCTGTGTACTGCATTGCATTGCCAAGAAATAATCTAGTGATTCAATTCTGTGCTATAAAATGTCTACAGTTTGAAAACATTTTAAGTCTTAACTAAAGATCATGTCTAAAAACTTGAGACATGGAGTTGCATGTAGTAATTCAATTTATAATTTCAGTTTTCTGTTCAAATACCAAACATTCCATCGTCATAAACAATATTCTGACCATATATAATGCATCTTTGTTTTGTTTCAGTGTCCTCCTTCGGAGTTGGGAACTTATACACCATGGGATGTGAGGGTGTAAGACACAGAAGTCCTAAACATGTGGCACTTACTGCTGTCTCACTATTTAACATTCACTGCTACTCACTGGTTATATCTGAATGCAAAAACTCTTGTACAATGTCTGACAATAAAAAATGGTTACAATATGCCTCAAAATTGTATGAAATTGTGTATTGAGTAATTGATGGATTTACTTCTGTCTACACACTGTATTGTTTAACTGTTTAAATTGCACCATATTTAAATAATCTGTTATATTTCATAATTTAAATTTGTATGCTTATAATGTATAGCTTGATTTACCAAACCTCTCAGTGACACTAATCCTTAATTTTATAATAAAAATCAAGATTATTATATACTATACATACAAGTCTACAACCCCTTGAAGTAATCGTCTAAATTTGAACATCCTATAGGAATAAAGGCTTTTTTTAACCACGTAACTATTAAATGCAGGTTTGTTTCAAAGGCTGAACATCACATGGAGTATATACTGTATATAGAGTGCTGACTCTATAGAGTCATTTCACAACGGGAAACTATTTACTAGTACTATTTCCTGTCGTGAAACAATTCTATGAATATGTGGAGTCAGCACTTTATATAAAGTATACTCCATGTGACATACAGGTCATTTTGTAGTCCATCCATCTGCTACTATGCACAATTTGTCTTCTTTGCTGCATTTCTCAGGCTGTATAAACAGTTCACACCACCTTTCCAGGTGTGTTACAGGCACCTAGCTCTGGAGCTAAGCTTCTGTGCACTTTAAAGTTCAGCATTTCATTCAATAAAACCTAGTACCATTTATAGGAATAAGTGTACAGGTGCACAAAGTTGAAAAGGGGCACATAGATCAAAATTTTAAAACACTTATTGCAGTTCAGATCACACACTTAATCTATATATATTCAGAAAAGAAAGTCAGAGCACATTACCCTATATCCCTATATTACATCTTGCTTTGATAAAGGTTTGTAGAGGTCAACTGTTGTCCTTTCGCAGGTGTGAATTTACTCTATATTTACTTTCCATTTACATTTAGTACATTTAGTCTCATCTTCACAGGCCATCTGTAAATTAGAAGGGGGAATATGGATACACTGGGGCACTTATCAATTTGCATTTTCCAAATTGTCTAATATCTCTTGCCATTAATAAAACAAATACCCCAAATACAAATGATGCATTTATGAAATCCT